TTTACCTGCATTTTTTATGGTTGGTACTACCTGTATATTTTCTGTTTCTACTTCTTTTTAGGGGTTTAGAGGAAATCTCCCTTTTTTCAGGTCTGCTGCCTTTTGTAGCTTATATAGTTGTTCAGCGCTGCTCCATTTTTTGTGTTGTTTTGTATTATTACTTTGAACACCATATATCCCAAGGGTCTTAACAAATTTGTTTAATTTAATGAGTTCTTAAATAAGTGTTCGTTAATTAATTTATGTACTAATGGTTTCATTTTTTTTTTTTATATACTGATAGGGATTGTCATGATTATTGAATAACAATTCTCACTATTTATATTCTAGACAAGTTATTTAATTCTGGACATATGGTACTTATAATGTATTGGTTTCTTGCATAATAACCAGGTTTTATAATAATCAGGTTTTTTTTACTCACAAGTGTAATATCTATAAATTAATATTATAGTTGTGATTGTCCTGTTTTTTTGGACAACCCTTATCATACCATGGCATTGAACATTAACGCATGATTACTCTACTTTCTCCGCCACATTTACTGCCAGTAAGGTTTATGAGAAATATTCATGTAAAGAATACTAAGGAGGAGATATCCGGCTTTATTACTATTGTTTTTTTTATTGTTATTATGAGTAATTTTATAACATTGAGGCTTTATATTTGGTTATGACTCACACACATTTCACTTTTCACTAGGGTTGCCACCTAGGAGTGCCCGGCTGCCTGTGGGAGTTATCCCTCCTGCTTGTAGTGTGTTTCCTAGCTTCCTGTCTGACCTCACATTGCCAACTCTGTGTCTGACTGCTCCTGCAGACCGTTCAGCCAGAGTAAGTGTTCAGGTATACAGAAGGGGCTGGAGCGGAGAAAGTCTGGACTCTCCATGTGCACTGCAAGGGTTAATTCTAACATATACTAACATATAACCTTTTCATGAATAAACATAAATAAACACAGAATAAATAATAATAAAACACAGACTCAGATATGTGATGAAAAAGGCCATGGTCTTTTATTTAGTTTATAACACATTACAAACCATAATTTATTTACTTTTAAAATATATAACTTGTAACCAAACATCTCTGGTCTTTAAACCCCCAGAGATTTTAACACATGAATTACAATTGAGTTCCGCCCTATTAGCCAAAACTTACACAAATATATAATCAAACTGAGTTAGTCCAACCCCTTTTAAAATAAGCAGGTGACCTCAGCCCCATCAGCTTCAGCATCCAACTAATGCCGCAGCCCACTCCACCAGACCGTGGTTTCTTATAAATCACACACGATCTTATCAGGCGTGTCTCCCTCAATATTAGGGTAATTGCATGGATATAAGGAGTCTTACAGCCGTAGAGATCTTGATATAGAAATATCTTTTTAAAGCGTCACTTTTTTTAACCCCCCTCCCGACTCCATTACATCTAACCCCCTAGTCACCTCCAAATGCCCCTAAGCCCCCTGTCTTACCTATTTTTTAACGTAGGTTCTGGGTGCCGCCATCTTTGTGTGGGTAGATAAAGTACCTGTGGGACATGTCACCTGCCCACACTTGATAGCGCTGTGAGATTCCCGCACATGCCCAGTTAAACACTTGGACATGCGAACCGGGATTTCATTAGAAAGATGAATGAATAGAAATGTCAGATGAGCAAACACTGAATATTGGTGTTCATTTGTTTGTTTAGTTTATTACAAGGAAGGAGCTACAGGCGCGCAGCTCCCTCCTTGTAATAAGTAAAGATAGAAGCGGCAGGGAGCAGTGCTCCCCGCCACTTCCTAAGCCCCCCATGTCCTCCCTCACTCTACGGGGGTCAATATGACCCCCATAAAAACATAAGGGAGATTAAAATCTCCTGAACGTACCTACTCGCTATGCCACGAGTAGGGGCATGTCACTAAACAGCCTGTTAAAAAAAAAAAACCTAGTACCCCCACCCCTGAGTGGCAGGGGCACTAAAAAACAATAAGTGGGGGGACCTATTGTCCTCCCCCAGGCCCCCACCACTGAGCAGTGGGTGGGAGCCATAAATGATAATGACGGGGGGGGACCTATTGTCCGCCCGCCCCCAGCCCCCACCCTGAGCAGCAGGTGGCAGCCATAAAAGGAAAATGAGGAGAGGGCGATAAAGGAAAATGAGGGGGGCGGGAAACTATTGTCCTCCCCTGGCCCACACCCCTGAGCGGCAGGTGGGGGCCATAAATAACAATAAGGGGGGCCCACTCCTGAGCGGCAGGTGGGGGCCATAAATGATAATGAGGGGGAGGGACACCTATTTTCCTCCCCACTGGCCCCCACCCCTGAGCGGTGGGTGGGGCCTTAAATGAAAATGTATCTTTACCAGGCGAGGGCACGCGCAGACTGAGCTCCGCAGGGCAAGGAAAGGCTTATAAAGCCTTGCCCCACCCTGCAGTTAGGCTCAGAACACTCTGATTGGGTGACTTGGAATTCAACCAATCACAGTGCTTGTCATTTTACACAGAGTGGGTAAGTTCTTTGGAATTTTCCCACGCTGTGTAAAATGACACAGAGCACTCTGATTGGATGGATTTCAAGTCAACCAATCAGAGTGTTCTGAGCCTAATTACAGGGCAGGGCAAGGTTTTATAAGCCTTGCCCCGCCCTGCGGAGCTCAGTCTGCGCCGTGCCCTTGCCGGGTGAAGATGGATTCATTTTTTTGCCTCTGGTTTTTTCTTTTTGGGCAGATTTCTTTTTGCAGAAGTAGAATCCTGATATTCACAAAGTGAGTATAACAGGAAGAGAAAATAGGGAATAAGACAGAAATATTTAAGCTCTGAAACTGGAAAGATAGGAGTTCACCGGATTCTATAAAACATACAGATAATGCACAATAAATGTGGGTATCCAGGAGCTTAATAGTTAAATAACAATGAATCAGTAAATAAAAATTTAAATATAAAAATGAAAAAGATAAAAGTAGTATATATCCTATACCAAAAATACACAGATCGTAAGAAGTATCTAGAAAGCAGAAAACAGATTACTTTTTAAAATTTACAACCATTAAAACATAAAAGTCCAGGAACAATTAAAACAAAATAGTCACTAAGATATATCTCAGTGCCAGCAGTGTTATGAGTCTCTTTATTGTATCATAAACAACCTATGTCCTGCTAGTATAAACAATACAGGATTGAATAGGTCCTTATGGAATTAATATACTCTACCTGTAGGAAAGATAGTGATTAAGGTGGTAACAAGGCGTGTTAGTATTGAAAATCGATCTTAACATGTATAGCTTGGAGGAAAGACGAGACAGGGGGGATATGATAGAAACATTTAAATATATAAAGGGAATCAACACAGTAAAGGAGGAGACTATATTTAAAAGAAGAAAAACTACCACAACAAGAGGACATAGTCTTAAATTAGAGGGACAAAGGTTTAAAAATAATATCAGGAAGTATTACTTTACTGAGAGGGTAGTGGATGCATGGAATAGCCTTCCAGCTGAAGTGGTAGAGGTTAACACAGTAAAGGAGTTTAAGCATGCGTGGGATAGGCATAAGGCTATCCTAACTATAAGATAAGGCTAGGACTAATGAAAGTATTTAGAAAATTGGGCAGACTAGATGGGCCGAATGGTTCTTATCTGCCGTCACATTCTATGTTTCTATGTTTCTATGAAAACTAACAGCCTCGATCAGAATCTTGAATGACACAATATGTAACTTTGTGTTAAACTTAATACAAATGCATAGATAAAAAACAGTGCATAAAATAGGATAATAAACTAATGTTAGTACCAAAAACGTATATATAAAAAAGGAGCTGATAGGTTAAAAATTGATATATTTATTACAAATACTAAAAACAGTTTCCAATAAAAAAATTCAAAAAAATGAAGATCAAAATATAAAATCCCTATGAAGTCCAGAATAAACAGGATAAAAAAAAGCAATGTGACCTGCTTCACCAACCCGGATGGATGAGGATGATAATAGTTGGGTTCCTTATCGGTAGTGCAGCAGCCGGTGAGGACAGCGTCCGCTTTCCTCAACACCCCACCTCCGACCTCACATCGAGAGGTGAGCTCCTAGAATTACGTCAATACTGGGTTGGGATCGTACTCGGTTGCAAGTTCTCGCTGTCTAATCTCTCCTCACTGGATGTTACTCCTGGGATTCAGCCTTACGCGTTTCGTAGGGTACTGCCCTACTTCATTAGAGGCATATGGTGTGCACAGTCCATGATTGTATTTATATACCGTTCTACAAGTCACTAATTATATACAAACAAGCAGTTATACATTTAAATCATACAAAAATTTTTTTACTATTACGAAATAGAAATACATAAAAAACAATAACTGAATAAAAATACATTATTGACACTTTGTCTCATTTCTTTTACAAGGGATGTGTTAAAACCTTCAGTTAATCGATACATAATGTCTGATTACATATTGGATGTTGTGTCATATTGGGAACAGAGAGAAATTTAAAGTAAAAAATGGATTGAAATAAGATAAAGAATTCATATTGGTAGTAGAGTTATTTTCTTTGTATATCGAATGATCAAAAATGGTATAAGGATATATAGAAAAATGTCTACTCAATATTTAACCTTCGGTGCTGCATTAATAAAAGGTGAGTACCGCAGCTAAGAATGTCTTATTTACATATATGAGACGGACACTTTTAGGGACACTTTATTCCAGAGATCTTATTTTTGTAAAGGTGATTTTAATTCAGAACACTTATTCTAAGTAATGGTGTAAATATATTTGTATAAAAAAGATATATACATATGTATATATATATATATATATATATATATATATATATATATAAACAGGGTACAGTAAAATAAAAGATATTTAACAAATTTTCTTAAAAGGTTATATAAGAGGGGGCGTGCCCGGACGTCGAGAGAGATGGCAGCACACTAAACGAGCTCCGCTGTCACGGGCTCCAAAACGCGGCTAATATACAGCAATTTCAGCCCATCTCCGTCCCAGATCACGAGGAAGATGTCCCAACACCACTCGAAAAAATCTGCGGAGGCTAAAGAAAAATCAGCCTTCTTTGCAGCGAGAACGCCGCAGCACAAGCCGGCCGACCAGCAGGCCCAAGATGGCGCCGACACAGACTCTGATGCAGACCGTGCCAGCACAGCCGGTAAGCAAGCAGACACCCCACTCACACAGAATCTCTTGCAAACCATGCTAGATGCAGCAGTGGCCAAAATGCAATTCACGGTCACTGAGGCTATCAATGACGTGAGACAAGACATTACTAGTCTTGAAGCACGAACCTCACACCTAGAGGGGAACATGGGAAGGCTCAACGCAGCTAATGCTGACACAGAAGAGCGCCTAAGTAAGAATGAAGACAAACTTTATCTCCAGGAAACCAAAATAGCAGATATTGAGGACAGATCGCGCCGCAACAACATACGCCTAAGAGGGGTACCGGAAGAAATAGGACCCCAAGATTTAACAGCATTTGCTGTAGAGTTGTTCAAAGCTATATTGCCAGATATCCCAGCAGATATGTTTCTCCTAGACCGCATTCATAGACTCCCCAGACCGCAGCACTTACCGCCCACCGCGTCAAGAGACGTCCTCATGAGACTACACTATTACCACATCAAGGACCAAATCCTGAGGGCACACAGATCCAAAAAGACCTTACCCGACCAGTTCAGAGACATCCTCTTGTTTATGGACTTATCCGCGGAGACATTACGCCGAAGGCGATCCTTTAAAGATATAGCCGACGCTCTGAGACACCACAATGTCCAGTACCGGTGGGGATACCCAGCTAAGCTCCTTATCACAAAAGGGAGCAAGCTTTTCACTGCAAACACACCAAGAGAAGGTCTAAACCTCCTGCGACAATGGGGCCTATCCCGAAACCTCCAGCCCAATCTCCAGACCTCCAGCAAATCCACAGAAGAAGAAGAGAGACGCCCTCCAAAAGCGAGAGGCACGTTCCCGAAGGAAGACTGAAAGCCGGCGCCCGGTGACAGCAAGTTAACTCCAAGATTTACCTAAGGCCTACCTATTATATAATATATTAATATATGTCACGTTATGTCTGAACATATCGAAATACTTATCCCCACTGATGCTCACTACTAAAGAGAGCAGGGGCAAATTATGTGACCCCCCCATGAGCCCAGAGCCACAAACCCCCCACTAACTAGGCCGTCATAGACCTATAAGGCATCACCTATAACAGCCAATGCCTCCGCCGCTGATTTTTAAGACATCACGCTCCTCATTATGGTGCATATTGCGCCAAAGCGTTAGTAGCCAAAAGGGAACAGGGACGGAGAGAACCCAACCCACAATGACCCCTAAGCGGCCTTCATGAGACCCGACCCGCTCACACCACCCCCAGTTAGGAAGTGCAATAGTTATGGCACATACCTCTGAAAGTTACCATTATATAATACTTTCTTTACTTAATACCTACTTAATGTTTGATTGTTATACTGTATTAATTTGTTTTGTTTCACTTTATATTTTGTATTACGTAACCGACTCACTTCTTTAGGTACCAAGACTAAACCACTGGCAGGGTAGTAATCGACCAAAAACAGCCACTCGGCCGCACCTACCGCCCCATCAGACTCACCGCTACCTTCTCCCCGCCAACACTAACGAGTAGCCCTACCATATAACTCCCAGACGATGAAGATACTTACCCACAACGTTTTCGGGCTCAATTCACCCAACAAACGGTATACCCTCCTTAGAGAGCTAAATAACATACAAGTGGACATAGTCTACTTACAAGAGACGCATTTCAAACACGACTCTAAACCCACCCTAGGACTTAAAAATTTCCCACACCAGTTCCACGCAACCTCCCCTACTAAAAGCAAGGGAGTGTCAATCCTACTGAGCCACTCTCTAGCCTTTGATCTCATCTCGCTCCAACTTGACCCGCAAGGCAGATTTATCATACTAATATGCACCCTGAATAACAACACATACACACTAGTTAATTCCTACTCCCCCAACGGCAACCAGAGGCCGTGCCTAGCTTCACTCCTTGCTAACGTGGAGAAGCACCAGACAGGTACCACAGTCATCGGCAGGGATTTTAATCACTTACTGGACCCCAATACAGACTCTACAGCCCGACACTTCACTAAACTGAAAAAATCCCTACACAAATGCTGCAATTCCATGAACAAACTGCTGTCCTCGCATGGCCTCTATGACATATGGAGAACCTTACACCCTAACACTAGGGAATACACCCACTACTCCCACGTCCATAATACGTACTCCCGCATAGACGGGTTCCTAATGAGCAACGCGCATCTACAACAGATTAGAGATTGCGACATAAGACCATCCACAATATCGGATCATAGCCCAGTCATGTTAACCCTCACAGACTCATACCAATATAAAAATCGAAGCCCCTGGAGATTAAACGAACATATCATCAAAGACCCCTCATTCATGGAGACGACATGCAGAGAATTGGTCCTCTACCTAGCAACCAATACCCCTGACGGCCCTACCCCCACCACATTGTGGCTGGCACACAAACCAGTCATTAGAGGGATACTATTAAGCAGGGCAGCCTATCTCAAAAAAACTAGTCACGCCGCAAGGATCACACTCCTCAAAAGAGTCCAAGACCTCCACAGACTAAACCAGGTGAACCCCTCCCAAGCTCTCCAAGAACAAATACAAACCGCACAAAATGAAATCCACAAAATCCACCTCCGCAAAGCGAACACAGCACTGAAGAAACTCAAAGCAACGTCCTACTCAATGGGAAACAAAGCCACAAAACTTTTAGCACAAAGGCTTCGCGACAAGCAAGCACAAACAAGAACACAATTCATTTACACACAATCCGGGCAAAAAGTGATGCAACCCACGCAAATATGCAATGAATTTGCTCAATATTATGGCACCCTATATAACCTACAAGACCACCCCAACACACCCAAACCCACCCCAGAGGCCATAAGAACATATCTCAACAAGATAGCACTTCCCAAAATTCTTCCGCAACAAGCAACACAACTTGCCATGCCCATCACCACAGAAGAGATCCTCCATCATATAGACAAAATGCCCAAAGGCAAAGCACCAGGCCCCGACGGGTACACCAACTTATACTACAAACTGTTCAAGCACAAACTCGCTCCACTCCTCGGCCAGTTCTTCAACGAAGCAACGAGACTGGGGTCCTTCCCAACCGAATTCTTGTCAGCACATGTTATCACGATCCCCAAACCAGGGAAGCCCCCTACTACATGCCAAAACTTCCGCCCAATCTCTCTGCTCAACGCAGATGCCGAATTATACGCTAAAATTCATGCCGATCGCCTTAAATCAATACTGCCCTCTATAATCCACGTGGATCAAGTAGGTTTCGTTGCAGGCAGACAGGGACCAGAAAACACTAGGAGGGTCCTCAACATATACCATCGCCTTAAGAAGACCAAACAAGAAAGCATCATGCTTTCCCTAGACGCGGAAAAGGCGTTTGATCGTCTAAACTGGCACTTCCTACGTGAAACCCAGTCTCTCTACGGCTTCCCACCATCCTTCCTATCTGTGGTAAAGGCCCTATATAGCAACCCCACAGCAACAGTGCTTTCCTCAGGTTTCTGCTCAAAGCCCTTCCCGATTACTAATGGCACCCGCCAGGGATGCCCCCTATCACGCTTTTGTACGTCCTAGCACTAGAGCCCCTAGCCATAGCCATCCGCAAAAATCATGACATACAAGGAGTTTTTGTGGGCCAAACAGAACATAAACTCAACCTCTTCGCGGATGATATCCTTCTTACACTTAGCCAACCACTTATCTCGCTTCCATCCCTACACCTGGAATTACAGGCATACAGCCGGCAGTCATACTATAAATTGAATATCACTAAAACACAGGCGATGTGCCTTAACGTCCCCCAACTAACGGCAGAGATTCTGAAATCAGCCCACGACTATGACTGGCGAACGGACCATCTTACATTTCTAGGCATCAAAATAACTAGCAAACCGAGTGAACTGTTCCCAGTGAACTACACGAAACTGAAGAAAGACATTGAAAACCAACTACACAACTGGAAAAACCTTTTTCTCTCCTGGGTAGGGAAAATTGCGGCAATCAAGATGACAATACTACCCAAGATCCTGTACCTCTTACGAACCCTACAAATAAGAGTACCCCAAAGCTACCTGACCAAACTACAGGCTATCCTCTTACGCTTTAGCTCTTTAGGGAAACATCCCAGAGTCCCAAAAACTCTACTCTTCCGACACGTAAAACATGGAGGAATGGGGCTCCCGAACCTGAAGGCATACTACCAAGCAGCCCTTCTCACGAATGTCATAAGTGTACACTCGCCCTCACACAACCCCCAATGGGTGGCACTGGAAAGCCAGTTCTGCTACAACAAAGACCTCCCTTCCACACTATGGTCGCCCCCACATATGAGACCCCAAACTCTGGACATGCTACCCACTACCAGACTTCTGATGTCCACATGGGACGCCCAGAGGAGCAAACTATGCACGGCCCACCCATGGGCCCTGGCTGCCCCCATCAAGACCTTACACCACTTCAACGGTACATTCCCGCACAAGACATGGAATGAGAAGGGCATTACACATCTACCACCTCTACACATCTAAAGGTCTAAAATCCTTTCCAGACCTACAATCAGAGTACGAACTTCCCCCGAACTACACGTTCGCCTACCTCCAAATAAAAGCGCTGCTCCTAGAAAACACGGTCAATACAAGGAAACAGTCCTTACAAGCCTCAGTAACAAAGTTTGAATTACAATGCATAGCGACGACATCCCCAAAGAAATCACTATCAATTTGTTACTACCTCTTAGCGAACAGAAATTGTCTGGAAGTTCATGAGAGACTGGCAAAAAGATCTCCAGAGACAGATAACCCCTCGAGAATGGGAAACAATCTTCACGGCACACGAAGGACTGAACACATGTGCTACCCACTTGGAAACGGCACGGAAAATACTCTATAGGTGGTACATGGTGCCTTCCCGACTACATGCCATATACCCTAACACGACAGCCACCTGCTGGCGCTGTAAATTACAAGAAGGCACTATGCTCCATGTGTGGTGGTCCTGTGAGACAGTAAATAAGTTATGGAAAACCACCGAACAACTGATCCAAGAAATCACAGATTACACCCTGCCACACGATCCAGCAGCAGTGCTTCTCAAATTATTTCCAGATAACATCCCCAAAGCAACACGGAAGATGATATTCCTCATACTCAGCACAGTGTCCACCCTGATTGCCAGAAACTGGAAGACCCCCACTCTTCCTTCAGTCTCAGAAATCACAACCCTAATGTCTGCAACGGTAGACTACGAACTCCTTATGTGGAACCAAATGAGCATAGGGAAACTAAGCCCAACCATTGCCGAGATGTGGGGAAACCACATACAAAAATCAACAACACCTACACAAAACAGCACAGCCTAACGCGACACAAGGCTAACTTGACCGAGAAAAATACTGCCAATTCAGACCCCGACTAGGTCTAACATCCCACCATAACACTTTGCCAAACACAACACCACTTCTTGGTACCGCACCAAACACCCCCTTGTTACCCCTTCCACGCCCCTTCCCCCAGCTCTCCTCCCCCCCTCCCGCCTCCTTCACCTGCTCTGACATCCTAGACAAGGAAGTCCTGATAGTGCTACAGACTTCAACTACTAACCCCAGAACTACTAGCCTCAGAACATCCCATGACCATCTCGCAAACCTTGCTTGAACTAACAAAACTAACACTCAACAGCAACCACGCAACGAGACCCCCAAACAGTCCCAAGGACAGTACACAAATGCAAGACAGTTCTCAGGTCCCCCAACACTAACAGACACGTTATCCATTGACAGTTAGATCCATACAAAGACCCCTCCCCACATAACTTATGATCCTGTAGGTGTTACGGCCCTGAAATGTGTGTAAAATGTACGTATTACTTACAAGCAGTGTCAAGCAGTGTCATGATGCACAATTCTGCATTGTCCCCCTTCCTTTTTGCCTTCTGTACCCCATTATACTTGAAAATAATAAAGAACAAGTTGAAAAAAAAAAGGTTATATAAAATCCTCTTATCTAAAACACAGGCGGCTCTGTATATCTCCTCATTAAAGTCTGGTTGACCACAATGCCGTAGGAAAAACAACTGTGGTGTAGCAGACTTCGAGAGGAAATATATGTGTGATAGAGTAAAAAAATTAGTAGTATAAACTTAAGGAATCATAAATTATTCAGTTTGGGATAGGTAATTCACCTAAATGTTGTTGGTATGTGTGAGTCACACCTAATATCATAATACCTATCACACTAGTTCCTAGACCTGGACTTTGTGAAACATAAAAAGAATAAAAATATAAAAATTACCGTCAGAGAATAGCAAGGATTATATTGATCAAATAAATACAGTCCATCTGGTGACTTCAAAAATGATCTTAAACATCAAAATAAGAGAATAATACTAGGACACCAGAAAACAGAAAATACACGTGACAAATATCCAATAAAAATGTCAGTATTAGAAAAAATAAGTGATGGGAAAAAAGGTAAAGGAAAACGACCAGATGTAGCTGAAGAGGGGAGAATCCTAAGAGACAGTGATGGTGATGATAAAAATTAATTAAAAGAATAAGAAAGAAAGAATAAAAGAGAATAAAAATTAGAAATTCAGAAATCAACAACTATGAGGAATAGCTAAAAGCTATAAAAAAGCATTCAGCTCAAAATCTACATTTAGGCCCTTCGGTGCAAGCGTGTTGAGGGTAAAAATCAATTTTGCTTCTGTTTGGTGTAGATTTCTTTCCAAGTCTCCACCTTTCCAATTAATATACACTTTTTCCATTGCCAAAAATTCCAGGCCTGTTGGGATTCCACCATGGACTTCCTTGAAATGTCTAGGCAGGGTCTATGTGTGGGTAAGCCTCTTCTAATATTACGAATATGTTCTGAAATTCTCGTCTTCAATGGTCTTTTTGTCCTACCCACGTATTGTTTCAGGCATGGGCACGTAATGAGATATTTGACGCCCGAAGTGTTGCAGTTCATATTGGATGTAATCTTGTATTCTTTTCCATCGTCCACAGATTTTAATGTCATCCTCTTTGTTTCTTGATGAAGGTTATTTTTACATCCTTGGCACTTATTACACATTGAAAAGCATTTACTTGAATCCTTCTTCTGAATTGAATGAGTGGATTTCAGAGTTGGGGCCAACATGAGTTTTAGATTGAGGGCCCTCGTGAAGATAATCTGAGGTTTATCTGCTATAAATACTGATAGACTACAATCACTCTTGAGGATTCCCCAGTGTTTCTTTAATATATTCTGTGCAGTGTGGGCTTGGTTATTGTATTTCGTAATGAATGCCGGTGTCAAGTTTTGTCTCGTCTGGACCTTGACTTTGTTCTGTAAAGTTTCTTCCCTTGGAGTATTCATTGCTTTTCCTAATGCTTTATCTAAAAGTGGAATCGGGTATCCTTTTGTAACAAATCTTTGCTTCATCTCTTCCATCTGTTGTCTACATACTTGTGGCTGTGAGCAGTTTCATTTTTTCCTTCTAAATTGACTATGAGGGATGTTTTTGAGCCATGTTGGTTTGTAATGGCATGAAACTGTTGCAGTCCAGTTCTTTTTTGTATATTTTTGTATGTAGTTTCCCTTCCTTAATATATATACATAAATCTAAAAATTCTACCTGTTCTGTTGAGTGCGAGAAAGTGAATTTAAGATTATATGGATTATAATTAAGATACATCTTAAAATTTTCCAGTGATTCCAAATCCCCTCTCCAGATAAAAAAACAGTCGTCAATGTACCTTCGCCACAAGGACAGTTTTGCGCCAAATGGGCAGTGGTCCCAGATGTACTCATCTTCCCACTTGCCCATGAAAAGATTAGCATAACTCGGCTCAAAACGTGTCTCCATGGCTGTTCCTTCCAACTGAAGATAAAACTGTCCATCTGAACAAAAAAAATTATAACTTAAAATAAAAGCGATACACTGAATTAAAAAAATCTATCTGGTCATTTTTTTGTTCTGAATAAACAGCCAGAGAGTATTGTACCGCCTCACATCCCTGAAGGTGCTCGATTATAGGATAAAGAGAAAATCAGAGAAAATATTAAGAATTTGGATGGAGGCTTTTAAATAAGATTTTAAACATAAAACCATGTCTTGTAACTAATGATCCACATATTCAGATAGATTTGCTGTTAGTGATCCTAGGCCAGATATTATAGGCCTTCCAGGGGGTTTCTGCAATTTCTTGTGTATTTTTGGGTCTGGCAGAGCTTGAACCTGCGTTCCCTGCATCCCTGTCAGGTATCTTGGCCTTGACTCCACGCATCTCTAGCTCCTTTTGTGTAGTTCCTGGGATCCGTTCTAAGTATGATACCTTCAAAGTCGATTGTGAGGTCCTGTTCTCCCTGAGACCACTTACCTATGTCCTTGACTCCACGCATCTCTAGTTCCTTTTGTGTGGTTCCTGGTATCCGGTCTAAGTATGATACCTTCAAAGTCGATTGCGAGGTCCTGTTCTCCCTGAGACCACTTACCTATGCCACAGACGTCATTAAAGTGAGGAAATCGATTACCTTGTTGTCGGGGCACCTTAAGATTTGGGCCCACCAGTTGTTACTCACCAAAAGCCCAGTCCTGGATTCCTGGGAGTCCTTTATTCCCCTGGGTTTACAATGCAACATGACACAAAAGTCCTATGTACATAGATCACCTCCTGTTACTTCACATATATTGCAACCCGGATTGGAAATGGACTACACTACTCATTTCACTCGGACTGCTGTTACAGCTAACCCTACCACTCCCAAGTCTCCCGAAGTGCCTGAAACATCGTATACATCTGACAGGGAGGCCGAGGAACCCATGGAGATTGGACTGTTTACGTTCCATCAGTCATTTCAAGAAAGGGCAAGAAGGACGGCGCATGGACTGTGTTATTATTGTGGGGAGAGGGGACATTTAATATCTTTTTGTCCCATTCATCCATCTAGGCCTCAGGTTCTCCGTCTGGGTACTACTCTGGCATATCCTATGAGACCTGTCTGCCAACATGCTGCCTGTCCTTGCTTGACCACTCTGACCAATCCTCAGCCTTCTACAGTCATTGCTCCTGAGGTCGTGCAGGAATCTGTTACTAAAAAACTTCTGCTTCTAAGAAGGCAAGCACCACAACCACTACAAGTCCTGTCGAGGAAGAACCACCCTTCTGGCTGTACCTATGCCTCTAATGGGACTCTAGTCTGGGAGGAGGACTTGAAAGTATTTGAAAAGGCCCTACAAGCTATGACCTCCGCTCCTGCTAGTACCACCAAATCCAAGAAGTAACCTTCTGGACTGTATATCGCTTTCCTCTTCTTGCCTAACGGCGTCTTTGAAGCAAGGGTGATATCAGGGTCACCAGAATGCTATGCGCTAATTATGGGTATTTGGGTTTGAACCTGGGTTTCCTGCATCTCAGTTAGGCACTTTGACTCCACATACCTCTAATTCTTATTTTGTGGTTCCTGGGTTCATGCTGTCTGAATCTCTAGTTCTGGGCATTTGCACACCTGTTCCTGGTTCCCTGATGATTGGCTGAGACTCCCTATTTAAACCCCGCAAGGCTGGTTCTTGTTGTCAGATAGTGTTTCCTGTTCGGTTTCACTGCTGTTCATCTGACTCCTGGTTTTGATCCCCTGTTCGTCTACCGTTTTTGCCTGATTGCCACCTGTCCTGACTTCTGATTCTGTTACTGACTAGTCTTCTGGATATCCCTTGTCTGTACTGCATTCCTGGAAGCACTGGTTATTTCAACCCCAGTGCACTGTGTCACAGCCTTGGGGATTTCTTTCTTGAGTCCCCTCGGCCTGTGTTGAATTGCAAAGGGTGCTTGTCACGGTAGTTTACCCCTACACGCAAGATTTAGTTCAACAATCGACAGATAGAGCAGATACGACTTACCAGACCTTAGAATGGCCAGACTCGCCGTAAAGCAGAGAATAGACAGAGTCAAGAACAAGCCTAGGTCAAGGGAACAAAGAGACTGCAAGAACAAAAACTAGCCAAGGTCTGGTACACAGTAGTCAGTAAGCCGGCAAACAAGACAAAACAGGGATAGAGAGATAAACGGAGTCAGATACAAAGCCAAGGTCAAGCACGAAAATCACAACTGAACACAACAAGCGCTAAAGGGAACTGAAACAGAAACCACGATAGGGCAGGGAGTTAAGGGAGAGGTAAGTATAAATACCCTAAACTTTACTTTGATTGGCCACTGTCATATCCACGCCCCCAAAATGTGAGTGTCTGGGGAATGTGGGATGACAGGGGCCAATGGGAGCACATTTCATCTTTTGGCTCCCACTGCCCCTTTAAAAAGCGTGCCCGAGACACGCGGCACGCTCTTAGAGCTAGGCGGGACACGTGACCGCATCTCGCGGTCCGTGCCCTCCTTCATTTGAGAGCCGTGCGCGGCGGGAAGTGAGGACCTCGGCCGGCCCCTGGGTAAGGTAAGTACCGCTACAGTGCTTTAACTCTGCGTGCCGGACTCCCACTCCAGATAAGATCCCTGACAATCACTTAATAGCCTCAAATTTTCTTTTTTGTAATCGGATGTATTCAATATAACTACTCCCCCTCCTTTGTCAGCTGCTTTTTATGGTTATGTCTTCCATCTTCATCAGTGATTTTAGTGAGTGTCTCTCTTTTTTAGTAAGATTGTCTTTACTCACTTTATTTGTAATTTTCCACCATCTTTTCGAAGACTTTAATTGAGTCACTTTTTGTGTGTTGTGGATAGAATGTCGATGTGGGGTGTAAATCCGTTTGTACGTAATTCTGTTCTTCAATTATCGCAAAAAAAATAAATTGATGGAGATTTTCCTAATGAAGTTTTTAGAGGTGGGAGCAAATTTGAGCCCTCTTTTTAAAAGAAATTTCTTCTGGGTTCAGTATCCTATTTGATAAATTAAATATATTCACTTCCTCATTTTCTGTTAATTTTTATCATCACATCACTGTCTCTTAGGATTCTCCCCTCTTCAGCTACATCTGGTCGTTTTCCTTTACCTTTTTTCCATCACTTATTTTTTCTAATACTGATATTTTTATTGGATATTAGTCACGTATATTTGCTGTTTTCTGGTGTCTTAGTATTCTTATTTTGATGTTTAAGATCATTTTTGAAGTCACCAGATGGACTGTATTTATTTGATCAATGTAATCCTTGCTATTCTCTGACGGCAATTTTTATATTTTTATTCTTTTTATGTTTCACGAGGTCTAGGAGCTAGTGTGATAGGTATTATGATATTAGGTGTGACTCACACATACCAACAACATTTAGGTGAATTACCTATCCCAAACTGAATAATTTATGATTCCTTAAGTTTTTACTACTATTTTTTTTTACTCTATCACACATGTATATGTCCGCTTGAAGTCTGCTACACCACAGTTGTTTTTCCTACGGCATTGTGTTCTACCAGACTTTAATGAGGAGATATACAAAGCCGCCTGTGTTTTTACATAAGAGCATTTTATATAAGCTTTTTTAAGAAAATTTGTTATATATCTTTTATTTTACTGTACCCTGTGTGTGTGTGTGTATATATATGTGTGTGTGTGTATATATATATATATATATATATATATATATATATATTTATATATACACAAATATATTTACACCATTACTTAGAATGAGTGTTCTCAATTAAAATCACCTTTACAAAAATAAGATCTCTGGAATAAAGGGTCCCTAAAATTGTCCATCTCCTATATGTAAATAAGACATTCTGAGCTGTGGTACTCACCTTTTATTAATGCAGCACAGAAGTTTAAATATTGAGGAGTATTTGTAATAAATATATCAATTTTTAACCTATCACCTCCTTTTTTATATATACATTTTTCACTATCTTTCCTACAGGTAAAGTATATTAATTCCATAAGGACCTATTCAATCCTGTATTGTTTATACTAGCAGGACATGGGTTGTTTATGGTACAATAAAGAGACTCATGACACTGCTGAGACTGAGATATACCTTAGTGACTATTTTGTTCTAATTGTTCCTGGAATTTATGTTTTAATGGTTGTAAATTTTAAAAAGTAATCTGTTTTCTGCTTTCTAGATACTTCTTACGATCTGTATATTTTTGGTATAAGATATATACTACTTTTATCTTTTTCATTTTTATATTTTTTATTTACTGATTCATTGTTATTTAACTATTAAGCTCCTGGATATCCACATTTATTGTGCATTATTGTCATGCGGAATCTCTTCTGGGTTCGGCATTCCTACTACTTAGAGAGACCGCGCCAGAGAGAAAGGGCTTGGTGATTGTGGGATCTACTTCCAGGTATAGACGCCGGCTCCACAAGCTTCTCTCACAAGCCTTCCTAAACCTTTGAAGATAAAAGGATTATGCTTCATCCGCTAAAGGATTACTGGAGAAGGGACACTTTACCATTTAACAAGTGGACTCTAATACTGATCTCTTGCAGGACCACTCACATTAATCTTAAGTATAACTTCCAATTTATTATCTGGAATCTCAGTTATTAATGAACTATTTCTTGCTTGCTCAAATCCTCTCTGCTGCATACTGTCAGGATTACTGTTTGATCCAGCACGTAGAACTGTACAGCGCGGATGACAAATAAGTAACGTATTACCGGTCCTTAGAATGGCCGGATTTAACGTACAAAGAATAGTCAAAAATACTAGCCGAGGTCAGGGAACACAGAAAGGGACACAGCGATGAGGAAAGCCAGGAGTCAGGATACCAGAATATAGAGAAGTCAATAAACAAAGCCAAAGTCAAAAACCAGGTAGAAAACTAATAACAGGAACGCGCTCTCGGACAACCACAAGAGAAACCACGACAGGGCACTGAGCAGGCTGAGAACTGGGCCTAAATACCCCTCCTTTAGTTCTGATAGGCTGTAACCGGCCTTTGACCCCAAAGTCAGTTACCAGGTTTCATTTGCATAATTGCTGCTCAGCATTAACCCTTCTGTGGATTAGGTTGCTGCTCGGCACAACTTTTCCTGTGTGGACAGTAAATGTCATTAACCACATTTCTATAAGCGGATGAATATGTGACATTACCCCCCACCTGAAGAACGCCCACCGGGCGGACAGGACCAGGCTTGAGAGGAAATTTAGCGTGAAAAGCGCGGATCTTACGGCCCGCATGCAGGTCAGGAGCCGAAACCCAAGAACGATCAGCAGGACCGTAACCTTTCCAAACAACCAAGTACTGTAAAGTGCCCCGAGAAAACCTAGAATCCACGATAGAAGATACCTCATACTCTTCCTGACCACCCACCACCACCGGAGGGGGAGGAAC